TGATGAAGGAGTCTGTTCAGACCTGCCCAGGCAGTGCCAGCACTCCCCTCTGGCTCAGGTAAATCACCTTCCCAGCAGCCTCAGCCCCTGGGGACAGGCCGAAAAGCAGCAGCTGACGAATACCCACAAAAAGCCAGAGAACACACGTTAGTGTCCCTTGCAGAGATTCAGATTAAATACTGCCACTTAAATGCTACAGTAAAAGTTGATAGCTAATGTAACCAAACATCTGTAAATTAAAACTAACAAAACCACTGGTTTTGCTTTACTATGTATTTCAAGGGAATAAATTTTTCTCTCTCTTTCCTAAGTTTCTAAGAAAAGCTGGAAGCCTGCTTCATTTTGGTCATGCCTTTTTTGTTTGGACGGAGATGTAAAGACTGTTCGTACAATTTCATGAGGCTAGCCCATGTTTGTATCTGACCAGCAGATGAAAGTACAAGACTGTGGACCATCCCATCAGACCAGCCAATGGCAGCCAGAGAGTGCTCTGCTTCAACACCACCACAGACAGCAGAAAAGATAGCTAAAACTCAGTTGTGCTGCATTGTGGAAGGACAATTTGAGAAATCCTCGAATTTCCTCTAATTTATGCCCCTCTCTGCTGGTCGTGAGTGGCCAAAAAGAAAAAGCAGCACACGGAGAGAGTAAAACGGAATTTCCTTTGCCAGCTGTCTGGTATGAAAGAAATGTTTACACAGAAGCGATCCTTTTGAGAGCTGTGAAACAAAGGTTAAGACCCTCACCACACCATCACTGCAGCTGATTTTGCTGCACTGTTTTGAACACCCTGCCTTCCAGTCTTCAGAAATGAAGTCTAGCTTGCTACTCCTGAGAACCTCCCCAATAATTTATATTATCTAGTGATGACACAATACAATGATATCACTGAACAGTAAAGAAATTAAAAATGCAATCATAGTGTTGGGGGAAAACAAGTGAAACAACTTGCTGAGGGAAGGAAGAAAATTTTCACATGGATATGGAGAAAACATTCAGTCGCACCTAAGACACCAATGAATGTCTGCACAAATCAGAGGCTTCCTGCAGGACCCATAAAGTGACCTACAGTGGTGAATGTGGAAAAAGTCATCAGCACACACTAATACCTTTCAACACAGCGTTGTACAAACAATGAAATTCAATTTACTTCAAACCATTGCAGTATCCTTTACTAAGCATCAAGAATTGCTGACATGTACAGTATATTAAAGGGGATTTAATTGTAGGAGGGAAAGGAAAGCCACCCAAATGCTCCATTACCTTGCACACAGGAAATGAAGTTTTTCCTTTCTACATAAGAAGTGACAGTAAGGGTCAGGAAACCAGCTACTTACTGGTGTGCAGTATTCCACCATGGGATAGTGCATTTTATGACCTTTTGCAACACGGCCAGAGAAGAAGCAACTTTGGCAAATGTCATAGTTGAAGTGCTTTAAACTTCTGTACCTAAAAGTAGAGCAAAAAAAAAAAAAAAAATCACAACTTCAGAACTTTGCATGTGAATGCCTCATATTGGTTTAAGTTTTCTGTGTCAGTAAAGACACAGAGGTGCCATGCAGTGTGCAATGCCAGGTAATGCTCCTCTGCCACTGAGGGACAGGTACTGCTCTCTCAAGATGTTTATCAAAGGTCTGAATCTTCAAAAAACTTTTTAACATTGGGCAACAGTGAAGACCGCTACACAATCACTCTCTCTTAACATACAAAAGACAGCACCATGCTTTTTGTTTCTCTAATGCTAATTTCAGTTCTTTTGCTCTTCATCAGGACCCTTAACACAGAATGTCCTGAGGAAGTAAAATTTAATAAGTAATGCTCTCCTCAACAAGTCGCTCCAGCAAACTCCTAAGTGCTGCATATAAGGCAGGAACTTGCTTGTGTCCTTCCAAGGGCCTCTATCAAAACAGTTTTCCTTTATGGTATTTCATCCGTGCAAAACTCCAAATACGCTTTCGGGCCACTATTTAATCTCATCAGCTCTACCAGGAAGTTAACTATTGGATCTGCTGTGCTCAAGTACTTGAAAGAGCAGGAGGCATAAGGGTCGTCTTGTTCCAAACATGGGAGGCAGTTCAGTCACAATGACTTCAAAAGGACATTGTTTTACACGTACTGAGGCACACAGTATTAGCTTTCTAAAAGCCTTCCAATACAGTATCTCTTTGTCAAGTGGGTACACAGGGTTTCAATGACTTGCAAAGCCAAAGAAAAAATCTGTGACAGACAGATTCCACTATCATGATAATAGGTTTGTTATATAAATTTAAGAGATGGATGAGATCAGACAAGTAAAATTAGATGCACACACAGAGCTCCAATGTCCACTTCCCGAGTTCTCGATGCTCACTACAGACTTGCCATTCACTTGCCATCCTTTGATTTTCCAACTGCTGCATTTTTCAGTTCAACCTACATGTCTTTGGCTTTATCTTTGGCTGTCTATACAAAACCATTTAAGTAATTCAGTAATTCATAAACCTTATCTGGGAATGGGAAAACTAGACTTTGAGGATGTGTTGAACTATCCCCATCCCATCCTTACCTCTTTCTCAGTAATATTTAAAATTTCCCAGTTAAGATATTCAAGGGTAATAAAAGCAGAAGAATTAAGATGACTAGAGTAACAGCCTCACAGAAGAAAAAGTGAGATTCATACCAAAGCAATACCTTCATTACACCTCCCATTTCCCACTGCCTGTGAAATGGCACAGCTGAAAACACTGCCCCACTACATACAATAAAAGCAACATTCACACTCTCCCAGGTTAGAGCAAAATGATGGCTTTTCTGTGTGGCATTGCTTGGTGCTGTTGTCCATCTGGGTTTTAGAAACAAAATTACAGAAAGCTCTTTGTAAACCACATGATAGCACAGAAAAAGACATGCCAACGGTACAAGAAAACTGTGCAATGAAAGGACAGAAACCACACAAAGCGGCTATTGCGAAGCAAAGTGATAAAACAAGTCTGGGCATAATTGAAAGTGAGTATTTACTTAGCCGTTAAGTGGATTCTCAACAGGCATATCAACACATAGCCATTTTACAACACAGTGAGCTATTCAATGCCATAGTAACCATGGTGTGGATCCAGATGTTTAAATAGACCAGCAACATTTCCCCCACTCCAGGTTAATGTTTCACAAATACCATTTTTTGTCTGAGAAATTCACATGTAGCTTTACACATCTGTGAATTTCCAAGGCACTTTCCTGCTTTATACCCTGACAGAAAGCAATTCATTAGGATTCAATTCAGAAAATGTAACTGCATGTATAGGACACACTGAATGTAAAGCAAATCATATTACATTAGTTGTACAATCCGGCAATACTTTGGTTGAGGCACAGAAAGGTTGGGGCACAGAGTAAGGGACATCTTAACTTAAGACAAATTAAGACATCATAACTGATGGATGATTTTTGTTCTCTTCAACTCTCTCACAACTGTCCCAGTCTAGGTGTCACTCTCCCTCTTGTGCCATCACAACGATTTTTTTCCCTGAACAACATGCATAATACCAAGCAAACGATTTGCCTGGACACAAGGAGAGCTCCTGATGCACCAAGCAGCAGCACACATGGCAGAAAAGGAGTGAGCTCATACCTGAATCCAATAATTGGGCACTCCTTGCAGATGTTACACTTGGCTTGGTGTTTGGCTGTCTCAGCAGCAGCCACCCTGTGCAAGACGGGCAGCCACACCATGGACTGGGGTTCCAGCCTCATCCAGTCCAGGAAGAGCGCTGCTTCGATCTCCGGCTTGTTGTTGGCCTGCAGCACATGGAACAAAGATACAGCCTGAGCACAAGTGATCTGTCTACTATCAGCTAATTAACGATGCAACCCATTTGCTTCTCACCTACTACTACTCTGTTATCTTTTCCCTGAATATACTTCAGCTTTTCCCCGAGTCCAGCCACTCATTAAGAAAAAAAACCCAACAAAACAAACACATCTCCAGGATCCTGTCTTCAAGCCAGGAATTGAGAACTATTATTAACGTTTCAAATCTTTCTCTTATTCCCTACTACAATAGAAAGCACTACCATGTACTTTGTCATAAAGAAAATCATCCACTTACAGATCACCTTTGATGCCTGATCTCATGTTTTCTCTCTCTCTTATCTGAGCCTGCATAGCACTGCTTCTCACCTATTTTAAAAACAGTTTGTGTTACCTAAGCCCTAAAAATTGCCAGTCTTTTGATCAAAAAATTCCTTTCTCCTTAACATCCTTCATTATCACAATGACCTTTCTTCAAAATGCACGTGTAAGGCAATCATTCATTCAAATCCCTTCTCAAGCCTGTTGTTGAACATGTAAAATCTCTATGTCCTTAAATGCCTCAAAATCCCTCTTCCCACCATATGATCTCTACATTTCCCATCACTGCCTGCAAGTACAATATAGTTTTGTCCTACAGAATATGACTGATTTAGCCTCATATTCCATTACTTCCCAGTTCTGCCTCTTTGCCAAAAGCAGGTGAGCCTATGAGCACTTGCCAACAGCCCTGTTCCTCTGCTGCCTTCCCATCACATCCTAACCAGTGTGATTATTTATCTCTCCTACAGTGACTCTGAGGCAGCTCAGTCACAGAGCTGAATCCCACTGCAGCAGGCATGATGCACGCACGAAAAAATGATGTATTATGCCTACCTGGCAGCACCTACAGCACAGAAAAAGAAAGAGCAAAAAGATGAGAAGCACAAGGCAACAGGGGACATCAGCAAACTATCTGCAGGGGTGGAGGTCACACCATACTAGCAGGCTAGCCACTGCAAAAAGCAGTGCAGAATAAAGGCAAAGAAGTTCAAAAAGGATTTTAAAGAAACCAGTGAAGCGGTGGAGTCAATGTTTACAGGGAACATTTCTCCAGCGTGCAGGGTGGTGGGAAGCCAGCACAAAACTGGTTATCTGAGAACCTGGGAGTTGGCTTCAGTGCTGAAAGCGAGCTGATGGATCAGGTGGAAACAGTGGAGGGCTCTGGTGGGGAGGCCGGGAGGGAGGAGGACGGCTCCGCACAGGGAGCAGCCCAAGCGACGAAGCAGGATACTGTCCTGCTCCACTTCTCTAAACCATCACTATGTGCTAATTCAAATTCCTTGAGACATTTCCTTCTATGCTACCCAACAGGAACAGCATATTTATGTGCTGAATATATTTAAATCCTCTGTTTTCCTTTTTCTCTTGGCTTTCAAATACAGCCCTCAGTGGGCCAGTCTTTTATATTTCAAACTTCACAAGGCAGACTGTCTTCCTTTGTGGTTCAAACCTATTTGAAGGATTTAAATAAATAATAAGCATTATTGTATCATGTACATGGACCAAGATGAACAGGGGATTGAGTGCTAGGGTTTTTGGTGCTTGCTCTCAGTTGCTTTTCCAGTTTCTCATGAAATCTGAATTTACTATGACCTAGCTAAAACCTTATTCAACTAAAAAGATTAGCAACTAGTCTGGAGAAAAATATTGTGACTGATCTAAAGAAGAGAGAGCTATAGGGAAAACCAATTAATTCTGTGGGTTTTTTTTTTGTTTGTTTGTTTGGTTTTGGTTTTTTTTAAGGTAAAACTATTTATAATCTTGACAAACAAATTAACTGATCAATACTTGAAGACTGAGAAAAACGCAAAGTCTCTATACAGAACCCTTGGCCACAAGAAAGATGTGTAAAAATATCCCCAGAATATCTCCTGAGTAATGCACTGCATTAAAATTGACTTAAAATGCTGCTGCAATACTTGGGTTAATTAGAAACAAAGAGATTTTTTTGGTCAGGGCTTTCTTCTTGAGATGCTAGCTTGGGAAACCATCTAAAGACTCCTGTAAGTGCATTTAATATGCACATTTATGGATTTCTAGTACAGCCATACACATCCTTTATGGATGTTTGGGGTAAAACCATCAAAGCACAACTTGCCCACAATTATTTATAAAAAATCCCTCACAATTTAATATTCACTACAGATCTTGTATTAAATGGAATAATGGTTTTTTTTTCCACACATATTCCTGAAGCCTCCTGCATTAAATCCTACTCAAATTTTCTTTTTTTTTTTTTTCCTTTCTTGTAGCTTCAAAATTTAGGAACCCTCCCAAAGGAAAAAGAGAGAAAATCAAAAGTACAATAAAAATCCAGCCAACACCGGCAACAGAATTTGTTCTGAACAGCGGACACTGCCTTTTGCTGCAGGACATCAGTGAATTCAATAGAATTAAATTAATTTTAGAACTCTCCTAAGAGAGTTATATTTAAACAATATGCTATTTTTCAGCTAGCAGTCAAGGCAGTAAAGGGGTTGGGGGCAGACTTTCTGTGGCTTACTCAGTGAGTCAGCATCAGCCAGGAACTACACTGGCAAACGATGACCCTGCCAACAACACTACTTTCTATACAGAGGTCCGCTAAGCCTCCAAAAAAATTTTAAGAGGATCTCTTTAATATGCCATTTCTAATAGAAAAACTATCAGTGTATGGAAACGCTGCAGTGCAAGCTGCAGTCAGAATCAGAATGAGCCACCCCAAGTGCAGCTCTCCGCCTGTAGCTGCTTTAAACTTGCAGGGAAAACGCTGCGGCGACGAAAGACTTTCTGTAACATCCAAAGATCTATTTTAATTTTGCAGTCACTGTCGACTGCCAACAGTCCCAATAGCTGCCTTCCCAGAGCTCTGCACGCCGGCTGTACAAAACCTGTGCTCACAGAGATTAGGTACATTAAAATGTATCAGAACTAGTTCTGAATTATATTACATGAAGATTTAAAGCCACGTGAAGAAAAGCTGGTCAGGGTCAGACAGTATAGGACAGACAGTTCTCTACTGTTCCCTGAGCTGCTATTACAATTATTTTAATAATCTCTAAATCCAGTAAAGGCAGTAGCTGAAGATTTTATATAAGGGAAAAAGTCTGAATTCATACAGTTCATATCTGAACCAACAAGATCAAGCTGTAAAGAATATTAATGTTTTTTCTCTTGAACAGATTTCTGTGCAGCTCCCAATTTTTATGGTAATAACAGAGCGAAGCATGAAGTAAAATTCAAAAAGCCCTTTCTAGCTTACAAGTAACAATTTGTTATGGGGGACATTCACATTCATTATGTTCCAGACATCTGTTTTTCAGTACTTATTTTGCAGGAACAATGGGGGAATAGGAAGTTGGGTAGTGCTAGCATCTTCACACCATACTTCGAAGTTGAATTTTTCATTTTTATACCCCTCCCTTCTTCCACCTGCTAGGGTAAAAAATATTCTATGCTATATTAACTTTATCTATCCATAATATGAAACGTGCATCAAAATACAGTTGTGGCTTTACATGAACAATGCGATATGGTTTTGGACAGACTCAGACAACATAGCACAAACTTCTGATACATTTTTTATGAGCTATACTCTGTTTATGTGCAGTGAAGGAAATTAATTGGAAATAAATTAGCATTGTTAATTTAATAGTGCTTCTCATTTGGGATGGAAAGCTTTACATTAGTCTAGATAAACACTGTTTTGGACAAACTAAACTGAAGAATGGGATTCTTGTTAAAGTTTAAAAATGCAAAGCAAACCATGAATAGCAACCCTGTCTCCCTGAGTGAGATCAAACCCTGTTCAACCTTGTTTTCCACTCTTGAGTAGCTTCCTCAACACATTAATGTTCTCCCCATTTCTGGCCGTTAAGAAAACAAAAGTCAAGAATTTACTGTTTCCGAGACACGTGCTGTCTCAAGCTCAAGAGAGGTTTATTATAAATGTGACTTTGGATGACACAAACTTCTTACATCTGCCTCTACCCTTGGAGGAGATCCTTAAGATCACTACTCTGACCCCTTGGCATTACACTTGATCGCATTGACTACTCCAGCCAAGGTTTTTAGTGTTGTGGCAAAGACTAATAAAATAAAACAAAACCCAAAAGTGAATTAGTCTACAGTTTTATATCCTCCACACTTGAAAAACACCATCGTCCTGCTCCCCCTCCCCAAACCCCTAAATCATTTTAAAAGAGCTCCTTAAAGCAGCTCATTTGTAAGACTCTTCAGGAGTGCCCCCGAAGACAGGCAGGTTCACAAACTCCTGCAGAAATAAAACTAGAATTGCTGGTTTGTGACATTTACTGCAGGAAGGACTTGCTAGTTCCCTTAGGCCAGCGCTCCCCTGTCAGAGCCAAAAGCTGAAGAAATATCCCATGAATAGAAAGAAGGGCTATCTGGGTCTCTCTCAAGAGATCTGGTCCTTCAATAATAATGCTGCATTTGTGTGTTATTCTCATACGTAGTTATTTGTACACAGTATATTCTGTAACTGTTCAAAAAAATACCACCCCAACCCACTCTTCAAAAAACAACAGCCCCGCCAATTCAAATCACAGCATTTGGAGCCAAAGTCACTATCAGGGTCCTGGCCTAGGATTTACAATACCCAATCTCCACCTAAAAGGGTTAACAAGATGCTATTTTGACTTTTTTTTTGCTGAGTATATACACTGGATTTGGACAGAGTTACCTAGTTGTGAAATCGAGGGTGATCTCGCCTTATCATTGATCAAGTACAAATGTAGAAATGAAGACCAAAAACCACAGAATATTAAAATACTTTCCTTTGTCAAAATAAAATTAAATAAGAAGGTTTAAAATACAGGTATGAATAACTGCACATATTTTTCTACTCCTTAGCTTCATCTGTACTTACTTTCACATCAAGTGCTCTACTTCAAGTATGTGCTCAGAATAAAGCATACTTAAAGCAGTTTATAACCTAGAACCAAATATCCAAAACTTTATTGAGAAAACAGCAAGAGACATTTTCATCTGAGTTGCATTGTTTTCACATCAATTTTCTTAAACATCCCCATGTCACAGTAACTCTTCCAAGGCAGTGACGTGAATTCCTAGGTTCTACTTACACTATACAAGGAAAGCATATTAATAATTTTCCACTGTGATTAAAACACTGCACGTGTGTTCTTCACATCAATTCCTTATCCTGTTTACTTAAAGAAACGTACCCATCACAGAATGAAAAGGAAAATGCTTTCACACTCCAGCAATACTGAATTCACTCAATTTTTCACAGATCTATAGATTGCTTCGATGCAGTCTGAGCCTAGGCAGAACTACAAAGTCTTCAAATGGTCATCAGACCAAGCTCTTTGCTCTCACTTAATATTTTTTCTTTAAAATCTGAAAGCTCAATCTCCCTGCCCCATGCAAGAAAGATGAGCCCCATAATATCCTTTTTCTCCCAACAATTACTAACTATGGAAGGCAAGAGCTGGTGCTGGGGGGATGAAAAGCACCACAAAAAGCACAGCATCAGCATCATCATCAGCCTGCATAAAGGGAGCTGCTCCCTGGGAGCAGGCAGGGCTGGCAGGAGCGGGTAGGCTGCTGCCAACAGTGGTGCTGGGAAGCCTGCGCTCCCAACCTTCATTCCCAAGGACTCGCACTTCAAACTGGAAGGAGAGATTTCCCCTGTTATCGCTGGGAACAGTAAACATCCTTTTATTTTTTGCTGTTGTGCAGACAGACAAGGCCGTTGTCAGGGCACCTAACTTGAGGGGGCTGGGAGAGCCATTTCTGAAGCACACATTTGTTGCAAACCCTGACATGACTGCAATTTATTGCTGGCTTATCATCACCAGAGAGGGGGAAAAAAAAAGGAAAGAAAAAAGCCCTAAAGTAAAAGCATTCCTCACCGTGGGCGTTCAAAGAAAGACTTAATTTAGTTTCCACACATGTAATGTAAACTATGAATCCTCACAATATTTTAAAAAATTGAATTATCTCACTTCAGTAAAAGGAGGCTGCTGGGAGCCCTGTGCAATCCTCCTCGGCCATCCAGTTCCTCCAGCCACTCCATTTCCTGCCTGTTCCTGGCTCCAGCCTCCCCCCTCAACAACTCTATGCTGTGGCCCCCTGCCTGAGGACCCTCGTGCTCCCCATGCACCACCATCCCACACTAAAAGGATCTCTCTGCTCCCCTCCTCCCTTTCTTCTGGGAAGGTCTTATTTCTTCCCCCAACTCCATTCCTGGCTACTCCTTTCTTTCATGCCTTATTCTACCCACCCTTTAGTTTCTTTCATCACTATCATTACTATTACTGTTCTTACCATCGTAATGTAATTGTGGCCCTCATTTTTCCACGCCTTAATTCCTCCTCCCTCCCTTTCATCAGGGCTCTCCCTATGTTTGGATCTTTGCTCCTCTCCCCAGGACTCCATCCCACCAATTTTTCTATTTACCCCTCCTCGTCTGAGCTTCCCTTCCCCATCTCTGGTCCTCCTAGAAGATTATCTGTTCTGCTGCAACTGAGGTCAGCAACCACCCTCCCAGTCTGCAAGTTAAAATGAAGCTTCACCCAGAGAAAAAGAGGATGTAACTCCTCTCACTGCAGGTAAGAAGAAAACCTACTTTTCAGTGCAGGTAAGAGAAGGAAACCTCAGGTTTCCCGATGCTCTGATCTACGAACACATGAAAGGTTGTGCCCAGCTGTGCTTGGGCTGTTTCCAGAAAGGCTGGCAGCTGGATGAGGTGCAGCATTCAGCTCGCCGGCGAGTCTTCATTTGTAATGACGATGTTGCTCACTCATTTTATTCAAATAAACATTTATTCCAAGGTCTTCCTCCAACTTGATAAAAACTGGGTTTTTGTGTTCCATCACTATGAATTTTATTATTTTTTCCCCGGCATAAGCACACAGAATGGCAGCCCTCTTTCCTAAAATCCATGGTTTTGCCAGATTCTGAGGTTTTGAACATGGATTTGTTGCAGCATCATTTTGTGTTGGTCTCACTTGAAAGCCCAATGTGGAACTCAAGGCTTGAAAGCCACAGCAGCAGGGTCTAAGACAGCTATCAACACTACTACTCATACTTTATCAGCAACGGTTATCTACCCAGTATATGGTCCTATGAAACATTAAATTGGAAATGGCATCAACTACAGATTAGAATTATAAGAGGTCAAGACACAAATGATGGAAACAAGAAAACAGGAATCCTGTTTAAAATAAGTTTAAAAAATGCAGAAAGCAGACATCCCATCACAACCGAAGTTTGTGGTGATTTTAGAATTAGATTCTTTTCATAGTCATTGTGTGTAAGAAGACTGCTTCTAAGCATTAATATTCATTGAAAAAAACTTGCTGTGTTTTGCTTACTAGAGAACTGAAACTACTACATAATGAAACTTGAGCAGCACGCAAAAAAGCAAATAACTCCCTCCGCCCCCCCCCCAAATCCCCCAGGGACACTTAGAGGATGGGAAAAGAGCATTTCTTCTATTGTAATGTAGAAGATGCATTGAGAGTTAATCACAGACCATACATTACCTCCCCTCCTCTACCTTTTCATTAAGCAGCTGTCTTCATCTTGTGCATTCTGCTGGTGGTTAGGATAAAGATGAATAATTCCAGTATCTCTCTTCCTCCCCAGATTAAATAATTTACAAGTTAGAAAAAGAGCCTCCAGTTGGAAGTGTATTCCTCAACAGACAGGACAGAAATTCTTTCTGTACTCTTTACAGAAAACTGCCATTATCCAATCCAGCAGTGGAAGGAGCTCATCAAGCACTCCTTGTCCCTAGACAGCACTGCAGGCAGTCACTCCCTTCCTATCCCTCCCCTGGGCACCTGGCTGTCACTGGTATGTATATACCCAAAATTTAGATTAACCATTGCTGTTCACCTACATGGCAGCAACAAATGGTGATTTACTGCTGGTAACAGAAAATTGTAAAACCAGGAGCTGCCATAACAAAGACTTAAACTGTTTGCAGGGTTTAATTTCAATACAAGATTTGATAACATTTTTTTGCTCTCTGGATAACAGCATAATCTGGTGCTCTTCCACCAGGTCTTAAGAAATGGCCTAATTCAAACACATCTCGTCAAAGGAACAGTTTAATTCAGCAGCGAACACCTTCAGTACCTTAACCCTTCTTATAGATTTTCAGTCCTCCTCAGAATGGACATGCTACGTCAACACAAAACATAAATCAGAAAATTAACAGTGAACAAACATGAACTTACAAACTGGAAACAGCTTCTGACGCTCGGCTCGATATTGCTGCCCCCGAAGGAGGCCACCTCCCCCAGCTGCCGAGGGATCTGGATGGAATCGTGCAGCAGGAGCCCCAGCCGGCGCTGGTCGCAGAAGCCCGTGGAGCTTGCCACTTGCTTGAACAGGTCTGGGGGAAGGCAAAGGACACCAGAGCCAAAGCATCAATGCTGGGGTGCAGCCAATATTAGTGTGGAAGCTTGCATCCCTTCAAAGGCTCACAAGCGCGGTCACCAGCCTTGGCGAGCATGAGCACAAATGCATCTTCATTTTGGCTGCTTCTCTTCCCATAAAGACTGTGGGGTTTTTTTTCTGTTAAATGCACAGTCTAGTGATAACTTTTAATACCACTACTGGCTTGTACCTGGGAAGAAAGGTCATTCCAACACAGCACCTGTGGCATTACTGATAATAACGGCTGTGACTCTATAACTCAGCTAACCGAACAGCAGGACCTTCCAGCAACGACAACATAAATATTTTAAAAATATCATTTAACAGTAAAACAAACTCATACAACATACAGCACACTTTCAAGTTTTTGTAGTCAATGTAAAACTCAAGAGAACCCATTTCTTTCAGATGAGTTAAACTGAAAACACATCATAACCTTTTAATCCAAGAGTATTTCTAAAATGAAAGGGAAACATTACAGTATAACAGAACTTGCTATCCACTGAGAATGTTAATATCATATAAAGTTTTCACCTCTGAAGTGAAATGTCACTTGGAGCCACGTTCTGTTACTGCATCATTATAGAAAAGAATCCTTACAGGACAGAATTATTATCCCTTTGTAAAATCAGTTTAACTTGGTGGAAATTAGTTATATATTAATTAGTTATACGTATATGTTAAGGAGGCTTTAGAGTTCATAATAATAAGAAAATTCAGGTTAGCATTAACTGAAATATTTATTTGGTAATATCAGTGCTGATGATACATGCCCTGAATAAATCCTCTTTACTTTTCAGAGAGTTAAAAAAAAAGGCGTGCTGGAGACAGCTAGAATAAAATGGTGCCCTCCTTTGGAGCCACCTTAATATTTCACCCAGCACCAGGGTTACAATTATAAAGGTGCTTCACCACTGCTTGAAATCACTTTCCTAGCACTGCTTTGACACTTGCTTTCTTCCAAAGGAATGGATAGAGAAAGGATTATTATTTAATTACATGAATTCAAATCTTGCCAAGTCTAGTTTTATAACAAATAAATTTGGGAAAAATCCTTCCATCACCTCTGTAAGCCTAAAGACTTGTGCTCTAGCACAACCGACTCTGCTTTGCTGCACAAATGAGAAAAAAACTTAAAAGATGTGACTCGTGGCATCCTTGCACCAACACTAATAGCAACTGCACTGTGACTTCAGCATGGATGGCGAAGTCAGACCACAGCCTGGGAGAGATAATTTCCTCTCCCACAAACAACTCAGCTTTCCATTTCCCCGTTATTAAAACATTAAATGTTCTACAACATCAAAAAGCAGGATTATGCATTACTGTGTACACGCACTGCAGGAAACTACAAAATATTAAACTTTTCCTTTATAACCATGATACTCCTCAGTGAAATATCATTTTGAAAAATATCTGTACGGAGTAATTTTCTTAAAAAGACTTTCTGAATACTTTTCACAACACCCACATCTAACACCTAGAGATCTAAACTGTGACATTCATAGTGATTGCCTTAAAATCTGATCCAATTACACATAGCTATGCATTGGCTCGTTTCTTGGAACGTTTTTCTCTTTAGTGTTCTTCAACTTTCATTAGTAGAGGAATAATAACAATTCACGAAGAACTGCTATGGTATTGGGTCAAATCCTAAGTGGTTTTTTTTTTTTTAAACACATGAATGAGTGATACCAGTTAATTTGAACTCTTCAAAACTACTCTTACCATTAGTTCTTTTTCTGGATCTTGGCCTCACTAATTAACTGATTCATTAGTCAGATAAATCTAAAAGTTCAAGTGGAATTTTTTCAAGTATTTCAGGATTTGGTCTGCTAAAATAGGCAAAATTTGCATGCCTTTAGTATTTCTTTAAAGGTAGCAACTATATTTAAACACAATGTGCATATCAAGACCATGAACATAACGTGGAAAACATTTTTAAAAGTTAACATATTTTAAAATGGTGTCATGCAAGATGTTCCATAGACATGCATTTTTGTGTATGAAGGTGTGCTAAACCAGTGGTCTCCAAAGAGGGATTACTGTACCCCAGGGAGTCTGCTAAACAATCCATTACGGTGAACTCAAAAAACATTTGTTGCACTGTTAATAAATTCAATTTAAAAATTTTGAAATAATGTTACATTTGTCTTTATCGCACCCTTTTTTTAATTTCTATTTTTTGGTATGTTTTACTAGGTACATAATATATTAGCACAGCGGCACACGTATATAATTTATAAATAAAACATCTATTGGGAGTGCGCGCTCAGAAATTTTTTCTGATAGAAATGCCATCAAAAAAGTTTGGGGACCACTCTATTAAATTACGTATAAACCATACTGGACAAATAACTGAAAAGTACAAGGTGGAGCAAATTAACACCGTTTGCATCTGGACTATCTAAAAGAATGTCTCTGTATGCTACTTAAATGTTTATGCAATAAATACTAGGAACAAAAACAGAAAATAAAGTAAAACCAAAAGAATGATATTGACTTACATCTGTATTTATCTTCCAGGTGTGCTTTACAAAGGGATACAACACCAGTTTTGAAAGATAAGACACGGATCCTTCCTGTTCGACCCCTAATGAAAAAGAAAAATTGGCTCCTGAGCTCCTCCTCGCAGGACTCAGCCCTGTCCCGAGCACACCGAGGGGCTGGTACGCCCCACGCGCCTGCCCGGCCTGCCGCGGGTCAGCCCTCCCCTCACACCCACTCCCCCCTCGCGCCCCTGCCCGGCCTGCCGCCGTGCCCGTATGACCACTTTGGCTTTTGAACGTGACTGTGAGAAAAGCATCCTCCTCCCTGCTGCAGGTGGCAAAATGGCAAACTTCCACACCTCCTCTTAGCATCTGGTTTGCTCAGTTTACCTCCAGCTGCTGACTTCCTCCAAGACTTTTATTTCAGATAGCATTTCAAATACATAATGTCTACTGCAAATGAAGGCATACACAACATACGAAGCTAACGCCTAGAAACGGCAGTTTTGAAGCAGAACCTTATCAACAGTTTTCAAGCATCACCAGTATGAACACCATGGGAACAAGATAAATCATGTACAGGCATGCCACGGTCATACCTCAGGCTGCACTGTTTGGCAAAGATTCACATTATCTTTTTAATGCTACGAAAGCATTGTAGGAGCCAGCAGTGTTCATTTACCCACACATCTCCCCTCCAAACCCTATAAAAGATGCAGATGGAAACAGGTGGACAAAGCAAAATTCAGAATTTGCAACCTTCTCCTAAAGAACCTTGTGCTTTTCATCACATATAATTATTTGTTGTTTACCTATGCTTTCCACACTCCACTCCTCTTACTGCTCTCCCTCAAATCTTTTCCAAATTAATTATCATCTGTGCCCTGAGAAACTCCTGCTGATGAATACCAGCCTCATGCAAATGAGAAGAGTGTAGAATGATGATTTCCCTGCAAGGCATATTAAATTGAAACTTGCACAAATCATGAGTTGTTCAGTTCACTCTCCTCTCCTAAGCAAAACCAGTAATTTAGCATGCTACTGCAAATGAGCATGAGTGACTGATCAATTAAAACAAATCTGAAACGTGTTGGATTTGCAGAGCTGTGCCCGTAATTAGATCAGTCATTGACTGTGAATTTGATTAATATCTTTACAAATGACAGTTTTCAATGATAAGAAAAGTAAAGATTCAGTACATTTAATTAAATGTCTTCAGTGCTGCTATGCACTTCGGTTGATCTCTGCCTATTAAGTTTACAATGAAACTAAACACAAGTAACCCCAAGGTCACCTCTCTTACCAGCATAATTCAAACCTGAATTTCAGCAAAATAGCTACGAGCTTTCCTCACAGATAAAACACCTCTCTGTTTCATTGTGTCCTGCAATACACAGTTCCCTAGCATACCTAGGGAATAGCCTGGAGGCAGCCAATTATAATTTCTAATGTTGTATTTTCAGCATGGTGCAACATAAAGAAAACTAGGCTGGACATGGCAAATCTAAACCGGCTGGTCCGGGCTGGGAGCAGCCTGTGGAACGACCTTCACTTCCCTCTCTGCCACATCTGGACAGACACCCCTGGCACATCTTCTCTGGCTTTTGCTAACTGGCTATCTGTGTTTAGATGTTATTTACAGCTGATGATAATTCAGAAGATCAGAGCTGTGTGGAAGCCAAAGCAGATTAAGGGAATAAAACTTGACTCTTAAATTAATATAGCCACATTCCCTACTACTGGTACACCACAATAAAATATAGTGTAATCTGAGTAATCCACTCCACAGGATATTGCAGCTGCTGCAGAAGATGTTATAAGCAACGGGCTTATTGGAGGTGATCCTGCAGGAAGAGGCTCTGTACAAATCGACAAATCGACTGGTTTTTTTGTTTTTTTTTTTTTTTTTTTTTTTTTTTTTTTTTTTTTTGGTAGGTGATCATTGACGCTTCAGTGCTGTGATAAAGGGTGGATGGAAGAACAACATCACGGCACTTCAGTTCAATACAGTTTAAAATGTCACTGGACATTTTAAATACAATAATTGACCCATGTCCTTCCATTTCTACACATAAATGTTTATTCTGCCACAGCAATGAGTGTGTCTGGCTGAAGGTTGCTGATAAGAAATTTGAAAACACAAATAAAGACTTTCACTGACACTTTTTCACTAAGTACAAAAATAATGGCTTGTTCTAAAATTAGCTTATAAACATGTGTAGGAATTTGTCTATGTATTATAAGCAACATCACTAACTCACTGAATAGCAATACTCATTAATTTTTTTAAGGTAAATTTACTCTGTTGTGTTCATACTTATAGGTACACTTTTTAAAATTAAATTTTAGATGATGTATTCCTCAGATCTCCTGACTGCTAGGATTTGTAAGCACATTAGATTAGATGAACCTCTTCCATCTTTGAACAATTCTAGATTGAAAGCTACAGAAAATGGACAGCATAAACAGAAAAGGTTTAACATCCAGAAGTACAGATGCATGCAAGTCTATATGATGGTGTTCATACTGTTGCTTCCTAATAATTCTCTTGAATTTACCTAAATAAATTTTAAAAGCCATGACCTACTGAGGACACGCAGCCCCAGAATTGCTCTGAACACTGAAATCTGTTAAAAAAGTTCTATTTCCCAGCTCTCTCATCATTTAGCTTAATAAAGCTAGGACTGTAAGCCTAACCAAAGGCTGTATTGATTCAGCAAAACGCAGCCATTAAATCATTAGGTTTATTAAACTTCAACTATGGGATTTTTTTCACTTTCAACCCATTCATTTTGTCATGAGGCAGAAGGCTTGTTCCTCCTTCCCCCTTCCCTGCCTGCTGCTGGGCAGGCTCCCGAGCACCCCACGCTCAGAACACCCATACGTACGTGTCATAGACATTCAGCAGCCAGTTGAGGCACATGTCCACGCAGAGAGGAACATTGACCAAGTTATTGTGCTCTTGTTCTAGTCGATCATAAATGGTGGTCAAGCAGTTAATGATCTGCAGAATATCCATCGGCTGGTCATTTTGTTTGAGGTTGTGCTGGTCCAAGGCATCACACGCAGCAGACAGACTCAGGAGATCCACTGTTGTATTTAAAAAAAAAAAACACCACCACAATAAAGATTGAAGAGAAACAGTGTCTGTATTACCCATAACTAAAAAGTAAATAGAACAATTTACTTGGCTGACATGCCTGGGCAGAGGACATTTTATGTCCTCTGAAAGTCATGTGCAAGACTGTTTTAATTTAAGACTCCTACAGGTGCACTGTTTATTCAGCTGTGGTCTTAGAGGGCAGTGCTTATAAAAGTGAAATTTGTTTCATTTTTACCTGTAAAGTACCTATTAAGCTACTGGATCCTATGGAAATATTACACGTAAATTACTAGGTAAGTAAAAGTTACATATTTTATGCTTTAAGTTCCTACAAATAGGTTAATGAATATTTGACTACTGCATTCACCAAACATGATCTAAACATAGTATACGTCATCAGCTTTCCCGAGAGGTGCTATCCATTTTGTACAAACTTGAGCAATCTTAATCGAACCAAACTCTATAAGGAATATGCAAATAAATCACAAATGAACTGGGATTAGCCTCTCTGTTATTTTTCCTCTGCTGAGAAGAGGGAAAAAACGATTCTGGAAACATTAATAAAACCTGAAAGAGGTAATTTAATGAAATTCATCAATTTTTAATTCTGCAGAGAAGTTACATTTATAAATACCTTTATGACATTACAGAGTAAGACAAATTTAAGCTTATGAATCAACATAGAACAGTGAGTTTTGCCACATATATTTTAAAACCTATTTTCATTCCAATTTAAGTCAGTTGCATTTTGATATTTGAATGTCCAATGCAAAACAGAACTTCCCTTTCTCAGCTCTTAGTCTCTGCATACTAACATCAACAGTAGGATCACATTTTGAGGTACAACAAGTCAGAGAGTTATGGGATGTTGGTTGAGAAAGTGAAATAGGAATATGAACAAAAGGAACGAGAAAAATTAAACTACTGACACTGATACTCCTGCTGTCACATAAAAACCCTTTGTAATTCTGTGTTGTGAATTTCCAGGGTGTGAGCAATGGGGATATCAAAGCCCAGATGCTGTTAGTCCTGCATGTACCATGAGCAGTCACAAAGTGCAGTATGATTCAGTGTGACTCGAGGGACTAGCATCTGGCCCAAAATGGACAGCCCAAATTCATCCAAGAAAATTCTTCACAAAACTGAGAAATTAACTGACCTAACTGCAAGACCAGTTTTTCTCTCATTGGAATAAAAATGTGCTTTATTAAGTCCTGGTAAGCAATACCTTCTGGTAATGTCAAAAATAATAATAAAAAGAAGTGCAGAGGCTAAATGCAGAACCTCATACAGGAACTTTTTTAGAATTGATCACGCTTAAGGGCACATTTGCCAAATCCACACTTGAGTATCCTATTTTATCAAGGATGAAGCTGACCCTTTGATGTCCTAGTGGAGATGAAAAGTACTTTAGCTGCACACAGGCCTGCTTGGTAATGCTGCATGGACACTACACTGGGATTTCATAACTGCCAGAAAAATTTCAGCAGTATAAATTTCATTGGAAATCAATAGGGACTTCTGCTACTAAATCCCTTCAGCGCTTCTGAAAATTTCATCCTGTGGGCCTGACACATCCAGTGCTAAGGTGAACAGGAAAGCTTGGATGCTATTCCTATTATTATACCACAAAACAGAACTTTGAATCTGTGGTTCTGTGCAAGGTTTTATTGTAATTTTACTTGTTTCACATTAGCATTTATTAAAAGAAAATCTTCTGGAATATTACCTTCAACCTATTAGCACATAAAATATAGCTATTCTAAGGTCAGTCTTACACTCCACAAAAGCATATATATCAGTCCCATTCCTAAGAGGCTCAGAAAGACAGTCTTCTAATAACTTATTAGTCAAATTAGAAATAGACCACTGCCTTCACAACACCTTTAACTCTGAGCTTTAGGCTGAACTCTCAGATCTTTTGAGACTATGAATCAATGGTAATTAAATGAACCCCTCAGGCATCTGAGTGGCAGCTTAATTATATATGCAGCTACTGCTAAACATGGGTCATTCCACTTTGTGAAAGCTTTTCCCACTAATAAGCAGTAACTTTTGAAAAGCCTTTCACACTGCTCCTCATCAGCCTCCTGTCCTATCTTGAAGCTTATAACATATGTTCATCTTATAGCAGGCAAAAAGTGCATGCCACCACACTCTGGTTTAGGGAACTCCTTTTTATAGAAGAAGCGTGGTTCTGGCCTTTGCCACATGAACCTCCCACAGCATCTTTCCCACCAAGATTAAAGAAACAGGGGGGAGGAGGAGGCGGTTCTCTCCCAGAACCAGGAATTGTGGATTTCTTTCCTATACGGAGGTCCCACGAATGCCAGTCTTTCAGAAGACAAGCACCAAAGTCAGGTATGTATTGAAGACTTGCATATTCATTGTCATTCAGTGATTTGCAAAGTTTTAAGCAAAATAACCCACTTCATGCTGTGTACTTTTTGCGACGTCTCTGCCACTCTTTTGTCCATTTCTATTTAAAATTCCAAAACTGACTCCAGAATTTGTGTGAGCAGTAGCTTCTACCTTATTTTGAGATCTACAGCACTATTTCCCTAGCCTCTAAAGTAACAGAAAAAAAAACTAGGATGTTTGTAACTAGACACAAACCAGTGGCCAGACTGCAGGAAAAGTAAAGCAGACAACCTGGAATACCTAATGGAGGGACAGAAGTGACAACTAACAGGCAGGACAAAGTATGCTATGGAGGTCACACACTGAACTTGGGGAAAATTCAGCATATGGCTGGTGATACAAAGTATTAATGGTGTTACAAGAATGTAAGATCATCTCCTCTGTTACTTGCTGCTTTTGGCTGATACATTAAAAAAAATATATTTAATTTAGCCTGCATAAAATTGAAGGAAAAAGGCACCCTAAAAAAAGTTCTTGAATATTTTCTTTTGCTGCATCTCCAAGAAAAGTTTGTGAATTCATCTCACTTGATTGACACAATCCTCAGATGTGGTTTGCATTTGAAGATCAGATCTTTTAAAAGTAGCAAAACAAGAAAGTCAACATGCTTTGATGTTGTTATCAAAGGAAACTTTACATTAAAAAAAAACAAACAACAGTGCAATAGCTACACCTGGCATGCCCACAATAATTTTGGAGGCTGGGATGATAGTCACATACACGATTCTTCTAAAGTAACACAACACACAAGCATTTATTTCCGTATCTTCAGGTTTCATATCCTACTGTCTTAATGTTCATTGGGCCAATTTACAAACAGAGAAGAACTAAAGGCCAAGTACAGTTGATTTTTAAAAGTGTTTATATTCTTGCCACTGAGAAATAGACTGCACCTTCAATTCTGTAGGCCTCCTATTGTGCACACATCTTTAGAGTGCTGCTCCTCAGCAGACAAAACTGCTCATTATCAAGTTTGCAGAAAAGAATATGCATACATACATTTAAACTCCTGAACTTTAAAAACTGAAATAAAAAGCAGGAGCTGAAAGCAGCACCTATTACAAGTGGAATTTATGGATTTTGGGCTATGCATAGGAGCCCTGAAACCCAGCACTGTACTCTGTTTCTACTAGTGCCAAACTGCAGAAAAAGAATTTTGCAACAAGTTGGTTGGTTGGTTTTTGTTTTAAATCTAACTAAACTTTCACAAGTGACACTGAAATCAGAGAATACACAAGTATAATGATGGTGTCTCCAAGCAAAAATATTTGTAAGAACAAAGAATGCTAACCAAATTCCTCAAATACTTCTCCCTAGATTCAAGTATGAAGAATGTGCTAAAGTAATCAGTGTCAGCGCTACTGCATGTCTCTGAAAACATCCATTCTCAGGAAACCTGCCCAAGTGCAGCCTCAAGAGATGAGCTACTTCAGTGCAACTCCATGCTGCAGAGTACAAGATGAGTCTAGAACTATTCAGTGGTAAGGATCAGGGTAATACAGCTAAAACAAGATGAACATTTTGCATTTCAAGCCATAAAAGTTATGATTTACACTTGTGCACTGCCAGCCAGAGAAACTTGTAATTCCAAAATTTTAGTTCCTTCAGTGCTGCAGTGATTATGAATACTTAACACGGCCTGTCACTTCCGTTTCTTTACCTTCCCACAAATGAGTGTGGCAGAACTGTTGTGTCACGGAAAGATGTTTGTAGTTCTGATCATCATCATTCATTAACTGTCACTGTCACTGCAATCGTACCGAAATCTTTCATTATGTTACAAGTCTTACCCTTGGGTTTGTTTTTTTTTTTTTTAAATAAATTTACAAATTAAGTCTGTTCACTACTGGAATTCACCCATGCTTATAAGCCTAAAAGTAAACATGCTCAAAAATACTGAGGTTTGACACAGCTCCAGAAAGCATGTGAGCACAAATCTGAACTTGAGATAGATCAACAGCTGAGACATCTGCAACCGTGTCAGAAATTTAACCCAGTAATTAAATACCAAATAGTGAATGTTAAAATATTTTAATAACCCTTCAAACTGCACCACCTAATAAACTGTTTTATTTGGCAACTGGTTGCCCTACCAGGAAAATATAAGCAAATTATTTAGTTATCATGTTACAATAAGCTGAAGAGGAAATGTAACTGGTGACGGGCAGCACACAATACACCAGTTGAGAGAATTAAAATGTTAGAACATGCACTTCACTAATGTATGGCTGATGAGCTACTTCTGAACACAACAAAAAGCTGAGGAAAAATGAAACTAGATGTTTATTGTGATGATCTCATTTAAAGGCAACAGCCCCTCAGGGTTCAAGATTCAACTTAACAAACCATAATTAACTCCAGCTCTGGGGTGATTACTTCACCCAAGCTCTCACTGTTCCAAACATACTACAATCCTTTGATCTTGAGCTGTGAAGCTGTGGCTGACACAGGACATGGCTTCACTAATGAGCACAGGGAAAATAGCAGGTAAAGAGTATAAAGATAAGAAATATGTAGGGGATGTTAGTTTTGTTTCTGATCCACTGCTCTGTCTTACAAGGGATAGATCTGTAGACTACACAGCACTTTGGTTTTTTAAGGAACATGCAACAGGTGGCTGCAGAGGACCCTTCAGGTGAACAATTTCCATGCACCATGCAGAGCTGGTGGTATCTGTGGGTGTGTTTTCTGCTTTTGAAAGTCACAGATAAACTTGTGCATTGGTCATACAGTCTTCCTGGCAGTGGGTGAGGCACAGGCATGTACTTACGGCAGAGAGCCTTCTGCAGCCTGCGGAGTTTCATGGCAGTCCTGTATGCGGAGAACCTGACGTTGTTCAGGTCAGCTGTAGGGGGGAATATTGAAATAAAAGATCAGCTTTATACCTCAGAAATAACCAAACTCACAAAGTTGTTAAGTTGAACTAGAAGATTATACTCATTGGTTAAAAGAACAAAGAAAAAGTACATTAGACGCTACTTCACTGAGCAAAAGCCCTCAAACCTTGACAATCATCCAAAAGAAAAATACTAAGTCCTTTTGTTCAAAGGCATGGAACTTAAGAGCATTTGAAAGGACAACATCAGTGACTGCAGCAGTGTTGTCTGAAAATACCACAGCCTTTCACACCACAGGCACTGTGAGAGATAAGAACTTGAAATTCCTTCTTGCCTGCCCGATGCACCAGCCAGGCTGCATGCAGGCAGCCCCAAGAGAAGACTTGTGCCCAGGAAAAAACAGGTGACTCTCAGCTGCTGCCAAAAAGAAAGAAAATTTAAAAACCCAATGAAACTTTTGTGCTCTCCTCCTAAGCAGATCCCAGCCATGCCCTGAGATGTAGAGCCTTCTTGGAGAGCAGCCAGCTCAGCAAACCAGGTGAGCTCCCAGGTTCCCAGCTCCGGAACGGCGGGGAGCCGGCTGTGGCAGCACGCCAGGGAGCAGCACACAGCTAGGCGCAGACACGCGACATGCAGCAATCTTTGAGAGAGCTTTCCTTCTCTGCCCTTCACAGAAGGAGGACATCAGCACAACTTCTCACTGAATACATTAACCATGGCTTGCAAAACCTCCTAGGACACTGCAGGGACACGGCAGGCCACACACCAAACCAGACACGCTAGAGCAGAGCCAGGAAGCCTCTCGGCACGTAGGAGGCTCAGTACCAGCTGTCTGAACATTGTTCAGCATCAAACTGTGGTGATCTCCACAGCAAGGCAGAGCAACTGGTCTGCAGCCTAAGAAGTGAATGTTAGATAAAACTGAAAAGAAATGAGGGGTGGTCTCGGACAAAAACTGGCCAGGAAACTGCATTTGCATCTTTCTCTTCTGTGGAATGAGACCAAGGAAGACGTGTTTATTCTAGTTTTGTCCCTGGGTTTGCTGAAAGTGACCTTGGGCAACCCTCATTAACAAGAATGAAGATAAAATTCACTGAAAGTGAGGTTGAAACTACTGTGGCTGCATTCCTGACACCAGTACCACCACTACATTGGCTAACTCATACTTTACAACTAGACTTGGCATACCAAGACTACTGGGCAGATACACCACTGCTTGCTTTATTCAGAATCAAACCCAGGATGCAGAAGTGAGCATACAAATCTGGCTAAGGGATTTAATTTATGGGAGCAGGTCAACAGAACAGCGTGCAGCTTCAAGTCGGTACCTTCACCAAGGAGAACCCGGGTAAACCAACAAGGTTGCTGCTTCAGGGGCAAGTGCATGAACCGATGTGGTTTCCCAGGTGGAACTGCCAGCACCTTCCAGGGACGCTATGGGGTGGCTGCAGAGTGGTGGGGGGGATCCTGGTGTGATACAGCACAGTCACATCCACTGCTGAAAAAACAGGCTGCTGCTGGCATCCTTTTGGCCCTGCCACCTACCCAGCTAATTCCTGCTCAAACACTCCCAGGCATTTACACAGTCTAGGGATCACTCCCAATAGATCACTTGGCATCTTGTAATTTAAGGGTTTTCTAGCACAGAAATAGACTGTTTGTGCCAGCCAGTTTCACCTCCCAGCAACCCTGCTGAATGCATTTAATTTACTGATTAAATCCGTGGGGCCTAAGGAGTTGATGAAGGGAAAATGTTTGGAAAATGTAAACTACTATGTAAATACAAAAAGAACAATAAAAAATAATACACTGGATGAGAATAAAGGTCGATTTAGCCCAATAAGCTGCCTGTAAGCCTGGCAGAGTCTTAGAGAAAGAACAGGATCTAAACCAGGGCAAATACAAACCAGCCCCTTATGGTATATGCACTGAGGTGCTATAAAGCTGTTTGCAATGCAGTAGTTTGGGTATAACTATCCCAACATCATTTACAAGGCTGTACAGGTAGAGGTAGCAGTGGGAATATAGTCTCAATTGCATTCATTTTAATTAAGGTGTTGTGAATGAGTAATTTAAAGTTTGATAATGCAGTAGTTTTGTACTCAATAAAAGTTGTTTCTAAAACACATCTCACAAGAGAAAGGAAAGTTTCAGCTTTGTATATAATTTCTTTCTCTTTTCACAGTTCCATACACCCTTTTAATGGACAGTCTCTCATGTATTGCTCCTGCCATCTCCCTCTCTCACAATCATCCTGACAAGTGCAGAAGCCTTAATGTGGCGTGGAACACAGTGAGCAATTTAAATAAAGTGACAATTTGTCTTGAAGGGAAATTAATAAAGCAGTCCCGCATGAACATACTGTGACTTCAGTTACATTTCGTACCCTTGCTGAAAATCTGCACTTGTGTTCTGGAAAAGAATATACACTAGATTAATGGGAACATCAATTCTTCTCTATTTATTATTTACATTTTAAGAAATATTAGCAAATATATAAGCATATTTCAGGCCTTGATCAGGGCAGAAAGTACCATCTATGAAGACACTTAATCCTGAAATTTACAGCTATTTTCTGTATATGTAACAAACTGAATTTATTATCAACATGACATCGCTTAATGACATGGCTGCCAAGAAGCATCTGCTTTACATGATTAACAAGCAATGTCAGGAGCTCATTTCAGAGCCCTCATCTCAGGTTTCGGGAAAGCAGCAGCAGTCTTATCTTTTGGCTCTACATGCTGGGGTCAGGTGTAGCTGTCACAGGCCTCCACTCCCGCCTTTGTTGCTGTTACCAGTACCAGCCCATGCCCAATTACTGTCCCCGTGTCAGCTGCTCACCTCCCGTCTTCGTTATGCCACCACCTCCACGCTCCTGATGGACAGGTCTCTTACCAGGTGGTGACAGTCATTTAAGGTCACTGGATCTTAATGATTTAGCTTCTCCTCTCCCTACTCCTATGAAACTGCCAGTGGTGGTTTTCCTCCCCCGAAGCTACTGCTGGAACAAATGTGTTGCTCTGGGGAGTGACGAGGGGAACAATGAGGGGAGCCCAGGCCTCTCCTAATTGAGTTCAAAAACATTTCCCTTGCTGGCACATGACCCCATTTAAGGGAACTGTAGAACGTGACTGTCGGGGAAGGAGAGCAGGTCACCAGCTCGGGAGAGCTGGAGGTGAGGTCACTAGAACAGCAAGGGAGGAGAGGGAGCGAGGCACCACCAGTGCTGCCTGGCCGCAAGCCAGCTGCTGCCACCGGGAATGGGCAGAGGAGGGAGGAAGGAGGCTCAAGCAGCAGCAACCTTCCCAGGGCCTATGGAAACAGCAGCAGTTCCTCCTTCCCTGTGGTTAGTTGTTTTGATTTTTTTTCCCCCTCTCTTCCTGGATCCTGTGAGAAAAAATCAAATCTCATGTTTTCTCCACTCCCAAACAGCCCACTACAAGAGTCAGGAACCACTAAGCCTTGACTCCAAAGCTTTTATCTTCTCTGAGCAGGTCAGAGAGCTCAGTATACCACACAAGGTTTCCTCCAGCCCTCCTCCCACTCCTAGAAAGCATGCACCATCCTATCGCTTGAATGAGGTGGTCAGAGGGCTGAAAAACCCTTGAGAGCATGTGAAACTTTTGCAGGTTGTTTAATGATACCCCTGGACCTTGTTGCTCAGAAGGTAACTTTAAATCTTTGAATAAAAATGTAAATGCTCAAGAGCACATTCTGTTTATGGTCAGAAACAACAATGTAGTGGAAGAGGTCACCCAGCCCTCTGGAAAGGAACAGACTGACAAAAGAATCACACACGAGTCTTTGGTGACAGTCATATTTACACTCCAGAGAAAAGGGAAATCCTGGTTCTCCCATCACTCAGCCACAAATAACCTCTCTGTTCAAGGGAATAATAAATGTTTCTAAGTGAGGAGATTTAAGATCATATTACAGAAGACCCATAAGATGGGGCAGGTGCTTACTGATGATGCCTTCACAGCAACAAACAATCCCTACCAACACAGCAGTAAGATCTTTCCATGATCTTCCTGAACTTCTGCTGCAACCCTCCCACTATTATGGTGGAAGGAATTCCAAGTGCTAAAGCATCAGTGACTCAGAAATTAAGAAATCTCCTTTTGCTGCTTTCTTCTTTTCATTATAGACATAGTAAGCTTCTGCTTCATGGCAACTAATGCAGTAGGGAGAAGGTTACCTAGAAAAGTGATTTCCTCCATGTCCATCATGTGCCTGCAATACATGACTATGTTCACATTCTTATGTTCATATTAATATGAGTAACATTGAACAGGAACTAGCACTCTCATTACACATACAGCTTTAATGAAGAGGACTTCAGACTGCTGATAGGAATAACTCAAATCATAAATATTACGGAAAGACGATCAGGTAATTAAATCCTAACCTTTTCATGCATAATTCTGCATGTTGAGAGAAATCTCAAAATATAAGGGCTACATTCTTCCTCAAAAGAGCTAAGGACAGCCTACTGAACACATTTTCCAATTTTATTTGTACAGTATTGTAGAAATGGCTGTAATTACACAAAACAGACCTTTTGTCAATGGATAATCAGGTAAAAAAAAAAAAAAAGCAAACCAAACCACTCATTTCAGAAGTGGTCAGTGATTTACATCAAAGATTCAAACTACCCAATGGAATGTCCCCTTGCAGAGTATCAACAAATAAGATGTAGATATTTTTTTTAAAAATCCTCCTATGCCAAATTCTAGATTTTACACTGGGCTATGAATATTATTTTAAGATGAAAAATAGATCCTCGTATTCTTGAGTCTTACTGCACGAGTAAGTTGGTAAGAAACTAAAAGTGATTAAAAAAAATTAAGCAACCGTAAGCTTTTAAAAAGAACTTATTTAACAAGAGGTTTAGAAGCCAGCATTGAGGAATAGTTGGTTTTATTCTTAAGTAGTTTTATCTTGCAACCAGACAAGAGGTTTTAAGTAAGGTGTTATAACTGAACTGCTTTCCATCATGGTTCTC